GTTATGAGTTGACCCCTGTCTTGGTTGACGAGACAGAACTCTGGTTTTTAATACCTGGAACAAAAGATCTAACACAAGACTCAACAACAGTGCCATGTCCATACTTAGGAACGGCGAGAATGAATGGCCTTCAATACTTGCTACCACCCGCAATGATGTTCGATGGGAAGGCACGCCCTTTCTTGTTCGGTCCACCCTCGTTGTTTATCGAGGACTCTCGGCAGTCCTTAGAACAATCCCGTCAGAAACGAGGTCTTTTCGATGATGCGCTTTCTCATGTCCAAGATGCCGGTAGATCGTTAGGGCGTAGTATCCGCTCTATTTACGAAGCCACAACTGAGAAACTTTCAGCCGGCGTAAATAAGATCAGATGGTCCATCTTTTACTTTTTCTTGTGGACCATTGCGCCTATATTTTTGGTCGCTGGTGTGGTCTTTGCTGTCTATTGGTATATTAAACTGTACCTAGTTAAAAGGACAGCCGAGACGGCTGCGTCAACTATGATAGAACTCGCCACGACCCTTGCAACTAAAAAGACTAAAAATAAGAAAGCTAGGGTAAATACGTTGGTAGTTAAGGAAGAGGGAGAGCCCTTGGAATACGATGCGCCGCGGGAAACTCTCTTTATTCCACGAATTTACTCCTTAAAGCACCAAGATACTCGGCATTCCCAGCTTCCATACATTCAGGTTAATCTCGAACATGGTAACCTCTTCCGGGAAGGGCCTTGGCAGCCTGTCATGGCCCTCTTGGATAGCGGATCCTCAGTTTCCTATGCTCGGCGATCAGAACTGGTCGCATTAGGGGTTAAGCTAGACACCTGGAAGGCGGTTAGAATCACCGCCAAAGCTGCTAACGGCACAGGACTGGCTTTGTTCGGACCTTTTCCGTTTAGAATCTTCCTGACTAAAACCTTCTTTGTCAGCCACTCTTTATATATGGCCGAAGATAAAGATTGCCCGGCGCCTGTTCTTTTAGGGTCGGATTTTATCACTCGGCTTAATCAGCAAGGATATGCTTTGACCATCGACTTTCATCGTAATACTGTAACCATTGGTACTAAGAGCTTCCAGTTGATACGACCTACAGACATAACACCAGAGGTAGCTCCAGTGTCTAATGTCATGACAGTCCCAACACTAAATCAGGGGCCGTATAAAGTCCGATTATCCCAGGATACTACACTGAGCAGGCGGACGAATAATATCGTTCCAGCTGTTATTGTCGGATATTTTTCGACACAGCCAGCAGACTTCTTGATCGAGGATAATTTTCGGCCTTTCCCAGAATTGTACATAGTCGGAAGATCTTTGGTTACTCCTAACTTTGATGGTGCCTGTAGTGTGCTGATTATGAATCCATCTAATAGCAATATATTCCTTTACAAAGGAATGCATATTGCTTCAGCCACTCGGCTTCCAGAATGCCCGGCGGAAATACATGGCGTAGACCAATACAAAGGAGTACGGCTAAATGAATCTCCCGCTCAGGTATGCAGGGTAGACCTCTATGGTGATGCTCAATTTTCGGGAGTAACATCGCCAGAAGCTGACTGGGAAACCCGGATGCCCCGGTTTCCTCTTTCTGCTTCGGAAACCCATGATGTGGTCTCAGAAATCGACTTTTCATCATCAGTCCTCCCGCCAGCAGATTTGGAAATACTGAAAGATCTATTACGTAGCCATTCGAAGGCATTTGTAGGTCCAGATGGCCAGCTAGGTCAGTATAATGGCCCCATTCGCCATCGAATTGACTTAGTCGAAAACGCAGAAATTCCCGCGCGGAAAATCTATAGAGTCCCACTGGAGAAAAGGGCGGAAATTGAACGGCAAATTCTGGAAATGTTGAAGAACGGCATAATACGAGAAAGTACCTCTCCGTTCTGTGCGCCTATTGTTTTGGTAAGGAAAAAGGACGCCGCTAGCTGGCGTTTCACTATCGATTTTCGTGGTCTGAATGCGATCACTAGGGCCCAACAATCGATCCTGCCAAATATACAAGACATTGTCGATTTGTGCGCTAATCAGTGCCTGTATACTTCCCTGGATTTTCAACAGGGATTCTTTCAAGTACCCCTGGAGGAAACACACTGCGAACGTACAGCGTTTGCATGTTTCCTAGTTGCCTTCGAATTCGTTAGAATGCCGATGGGCCTAAAAGGGGCACCAGCCACTTTTCAGCGTATAATGGAGGACTTCAAGAGAATCCTGAGAGCTCGTGTGTTCATCTACATAGATGACTTAATTATAACATCTGAAACGATCCAGGAACATCTTCAGGATATTGATGAAGTCCTCTCAAAAATAGAACAAATGGGAATGAAGTTAAAGGCGTCAAAATGTGAATTCGCCCAAGACAAGATTAAGTTCTTGGGATACGTCCTTAGTAAGGATGGGATCCTACCTGACCCTGATAAAACTCGTGCCATTGACAACTATCCGACTCCTACTAATACTACAGAAGTCCGTGCTTTTATTGGGATGTGCTCTTTCTTTCGTCGTTTTATCCCTAATTTTGCACAAATAGCAGCTCCTCTGTTCCAACTGATGAAGAAGGATACCCCCTTCATCTGGACAGAAGACTGTGATGAGGCGGTTGCACGCCTCAAACGAGCCTTGACATCGGCTCCGGTATTGGTAGCTCCTCGGCTAGGAGCGCCTTTCATAATTGAAACAGATAGTTCGGGAAAAGCTCTCGCAGGTGTATTAAAGCAAGATCAACATGGGGAACTCAAAGTTATTGCATATGCCAGTCGAACGCTAAATGCCCAGGAGGCTCGCTATCCGGCGATTAAATTGGAAGCACTGGGTTTGGTGTTTGCTGTGAAACAATTTCGTCCCTATATCGATGGTGCTAAATGTACCATCATTACTGATCATGCACCTTTGAAGGCCCTCCTACATCGGAAGGACTTGGTCGGTCGCCTTGCGAAGTATCAACTTATTTTGCAAGAATACGACATCAACATCGTCTATCGACCGGGAAAAAGTAACACGGTGTGCGACGCTTTGTCCCGATATCCGCCAATCAATTCGATTGCGACGGTTCAATCCGAAGACATTCCTCCGTTCTCGCTCGAGGAAGCGAAAAAGGAGCAGGATGAATCTTTTTGGATTTCGGAGTATAAAAAAGCACTCCGTGAGAACTCAGACCAGCACGAATTAAACGAATACATTCTTCTGAATGAAATTTTGTATAAAATTCCGATTAAGTTGTCCCAAGAACTGCAACTTGTCTTACCCGAGAACACCCAAGTAGGACAGCAGCTTATCCGAAGACTTCATTCATCGCAATTCGGGGCCGCGCATTTAGGCATCAAGAAAAGGTGCGCCGCGGTGTCTAAAATTGCAGTATGGAATAATATGGTACAGCAAGTCACCGCACATGTTCGTGCATGCAAGTTGTGTCAGGTCCGCAAGGATCCGAACCGTTATCGGATTTCAGAGCCAATGGGCCTCTTTGAGGTACCATCACGACCATGGCAACGAGTCCATTCGGACTGCATCGGGCCACTTCCCCTTACTCTTAAGGGAAATAAGTTCATCATCGTTTTTGTGGACTCCTTTTCTAAATTCATTGTAGCCGAACCGATGCCCGATCAAAAAGCTTCCACTACGTGTGATGCATTTTTACACCGATTCGTGGCTAGGTTTGGCCCACCTGACTTGCTTGTAACCGACCAAGGTTCAAACTACATGAGTGAAGTCTTCCGGAATACCTTGAAATTGTTGAGTG